AGAAACTTGTTGTAAAAGCGAAAGATGAAATGAAATTCCAAGCACACAATCCAGAAAATATTTGCCACGAACCTTAGGATCATGGTTGACGAACTGTGACGAAATACGTGCAAGACTTTCTTTTGCTAGATCGGCTGCCTCTTCCACTTTAGTCTCAGTCTTTATCTGCTGCAAGCAACTGTCACTAGGGAAAGCAAAAAAAAGAAAAGTAATCCAATTCAAAACTGTTTCCCGAAAACGGCAGAATCGAAGAATCTGTTCGAATGATCCTTCTGAATCAAGAAAATACTGCAAGAACAGGACAGGAAAAGCAACCTCTGCTAATTTCTTTCTCGTGTCGGAGCTCTTCAGTTTTAAATCAACATCCCTCAGCGTCGAATCAACATCTTTCAAAATGTTCAGCTTCTTCCTGCGCCACTCTAGAAAATTTATTCCCAAAAAATATGTAGCAAGAATATCAAGACATCCAGCCTATCAGAGTACAGTTAGGCCATGTTCGTGATGTTACTGAGGTGCTCCAGCATTCTGGATGCAGCTGTGTCAGGCCCTTCGATCCCTGGCTGCTCAACTCCAGTTAGTACCACCGTATGTTCAATATATTTCTTCCGAATAATCGTTCATTCTCTCACGCGTACCCCTCATTAATGCGCAGTCCATCGCTCATTAGCAAGGCGCGCAATATGCCCATTCTCACACGGTCACCACGAAATCTTGTACATTGTTAATGCCTTTAAACAGTCTTACAGAAACGCCAAGCATCTTTGGCTCCATCGTCCTCTCCGTACATTCCGAAAATCTAACCAAATGCCTTTTCATCCCCAGCACCCTTGTCAGACAACAACTCTTTTCACACAGACAACAATTCAACTATTTTAAGGCAGCAAAATTCCTCTTCCACTCTCACCTCTATACATTTTCATGCCTTTACGCATTTTCATGTTCCTATTCTTCATGCCTGCCTTTATACTTTTTCATGTTCCTATTCATCAAACTGAAAAAACAGTCATTCGACAACGTGCACTTCAGCTAAACGACGGAAATATCACTGCAGAATTGTCAATCTCAGATTTGCGAACCGAGGCATTCCCCTAAATTCCGCTGCTTTTGTCTCATTAATGTAAACCAACTTCGACAAGAAGAAACGAACAAATAAAGCTCAGGCGCACATTTCCGGCATCTAAAGAATCTCGTAAAACGTACCATTATTGGGAAGAGCCTTTTTCGCCACCTGTTTCTTT